AGGCGGACCATCGTTGTCAACCTTTTTATTTTATTTTAATTCAAATTTTTATTTTTATTTTTTACTTTTTTTTATTTCGTTTTTAATTTTTTTCGTTTTTTTTTTCAACTTTTTTTTTACATTTTTATTTTTTTTTCATTTTTGTTTTATTTTTTTATGTTTTTCACCACTATTTTTTTATTTTACTTTTATTTTCAGTTTTTCATTTTATTTTTAAATTTTTTTTTCAATTTTACGCGTGACAAGGATGGGCCACCATAGACCATATTACAATGAGTTGTAGTGAAGTTTGAAGAAATTATGCAGCGTGTTACTGAATTGCTGGCACATCGGGAAAATGGAGTGATATCGCGAGCGACACAGCAATCACCTCTGCGCTCCAGAAGAGTGTGTACCAATATGGAGGTAACTAATTGTGTTCGCCTAAATTACATCAAGTTGTGCAAATGGACTGAAACCTATGGGCAGAGGGTATACCGTATTCATTTGGCTACTACAGACGGTTTCCTTACTCGTAATAGAACTCAAATAAAGAAAATCGGAATAATATAATGGCCTAACCCTAACCTGGTACACACACTACACGAGTACCATCACCTCAGTACAGTAAACCATTCTTAGCCACAAAGTGCAGTATCACGTCCAGTTTCTTAGAGGTCGAACGCGCGTAATTTAAAAACAAAAACACGTGTTAGTAAACAGTCAAATTATGGAAGTAACGTTGTGGGAAGTACCATAAACACGTCTTACTTAAGCGCTAATATCAATCACATATGATAAGATAACACATTATTACGATGTATAACAAAATACAACATCGTCTTTACCTTTTGCCATAAGTATATTGGTAATAACAAGTTCCCCTTAGGCGACAGCTCGCTACGGGCGTATCCTAGCTATGTCAGCCTATATGAATTCGCATGGCATCATTCGAAGCAGTATTTTATTACATACCTTCTGTCGACTTTTCCCAAGCCCCCCTTCGAATAGCACAAGTAGGCTTACATCATAATATCTGAACCCACTTACTGTATATTTGAAAGAACATTTTACATATCGTTTACGCTTTGCGGAACCTGAATGTCTCAGAATTACCCTACACACTGATTGATGTCGGATACTGCTTTACTGCCAGACAAACGCGCGCGTGAATGAACTTTATTAGGTTCATTTCGCAGCTTCGTGCACACTCACGCAGTACACAGTATATATATATAACGTGTGCTTCTCTCCAATCTCTGTCGCATCAGTTGAAGGCTCTCTTGTTTTGGCATAGCCTTTCGACCGTTTTCAGTGCGTGCATTTGGTATTTTACCGAAATCAATCATTTGCGTAGCTTTTTCTTGCATATTCGTCTGATATTGATGCGTTTCTTATTAGGTATGAAACGCTTATAGACCCCAGTCCGCCATATCATGCTAATTTCGTTTTGTTTGTTTTTTCAATTTGGATAAATAGTATGGTTGAATGCATCACTCAAAAGAAAACTTTCACGAGCACAGAACATCGCCCACCTTGGCTTATCAGAATCGCTTCCCCGTTTTGTATTTGGCCATATTTTATCGCCTGACTCTATATTTTACATGGCGATCTCAATATCATTGCATGGCCTGGCTAGGTAGTACCCGAGCTATACATATAAATAGAATTAAAGTGCGCTTAGCCCTCGTTTTGCGCGATCAACTGAACCCATTGGTGAAATCTCGAGATCAGTCAAAATCAATTGTTTTCGCTTATATCTATTGTGTAATCGCCCAAACCACCCCATTTTTTTCGAGAACAATATCCACATCAAGCCATCAGGCTCTAAATTCCGAACTTGAATATAAGTGTATTTGAATATCCAGAAAATGTCGCGTGTGCCACTGCAGATGGTCAGTCAATTACATATTCATCCATTATCACGCGTGCACTCAATCTTGCATTTCGACCGGCCTGTTGGCCTAGATTTGAAACTGTTCATTGAGAATCAGGAATACGATATCAGTAAACGTATTCGTAAACCTGTCCATCCAGTACCTGCGTTATGTCGAGTACCAATTATACCACAGGAAAAACATTCATACGAGTTAAGCCGACAAACCAATCAAAACCTTGATATTCTGCACACCAACAAATTTAGTTTCGCGGTAAAATCGAGGTTATTCTCCCATTACTCAATTTTTACCACCACACCTGATTAATTATTCCATTTGTTCCACAATACACAATACAATTATCAATGTATAAGTTGATTTAAAGCGAATGCCCTATTTTTATTATGCTTTCAGTCAAAATAAACTGTTTTATTTCAATTTCTGCTCACGGTTATCGTGACTATGTGATAGCGTTTAACATGGAATCGAATGCTTTGGATCGGAATTACTATCTCATATTTTATTCAATATTCTAAAGACTCGGTTTATGGCAACATGCCTTTCAACTGAAAACCACTAACTACAGACTTATTGTAGTAGAAGGATGTAGAACGAGTATAATACGGACTGAGTGTGGGACGCTATTTAAATTCCAGGTTACTTTTCCTGCAATCTACTAGGTAAATAACCCAGAAATGCTCAAATATACAAAATAACAGACGAGGTTGCATCTTTGTATTTAACAAATACTCTTAAATGCATACTCGTACCGGGAAATGACTAAATTATAACTATTTTCGTGAAAACCCAGAAAAGAATAATCTCTTTTGAATACAATGCGAACTATGTTCATAATCGTATGTTTTAGATAGCACTTTTAAGATAAACATGATCCAACTCAAAATGAAAACCTACAAGAGAAAATTAAATTAGTTTTAGTTTAAATGAGTTTATGTTATAATTCATTCGACTAGATTTTGAAAACTGAAAAGAATATATAGAACGTTAAGAAGTATAGAACGTTCACCTTACGGACAGCAACAACACACTGCTGAGCTTTGAACTATACCAACATTCAACAATAGCGCTAACGGATTTTTGATTCCAAAGACCGAAATTGAAGCAAACAATGGATTTTAAACATGGATTTTGTTGAAATTCATTCAACACTAGATTGTAAATCTCCCTATTCAAAATAATATTTCTCCCCTCCTTTCTACAAGAACAACAGGCTGGGTCTTCAAAATACACGATAAGCGCAATTTGCTTCCAAACGTTGTTGTTCACCTAATTTGACTTAAAAAACGTATAAATAATTTTCGCTCAATATCTTCCGACTTCTTGAACGAAACATCAGTTAGGGTCTGTGAATCACTAAAATTTCGATATGCATATGCAAAATCGAGTCATGCTGGGATAAAGGACGCAACTGAAGGACCAAGCATTTTCAAGTATTTAGCAATTAAATTTGACTGTAGCGAGGAATCGCTCTTTTCAAATGTATCCAATTTTGTTGTTTTTTATTCATGGGAACGCTGTTTTCAATCAGTCGAGCATATCAGCCTCAGCCATGTTTGAACTCATGTCGCCTTGTAGATCATTTCCAACGCCAAAGGTTTATAAGTTTCATTTATTCTAATTTTTTTGTGATTTCCATGAGATCTGATATATATTTCATTCAAAATTTCGCTGCATTGTTTTTCATACGTGCGAACACGATTTTTAATCCACCAAGCATGACGACCGTCTTTCGTTTTGATTCTGCCAAACCGTGTTAAGCAAAAGTCGGAAGTTTGTCGATACCTGTGACGCACTGTAGACAAGAATCACTAGATGGTATATAATTCAGGGTGATCCAGGCCCGCGGGCCACATGCGGCCCGCTGTTGCATTTTATGTGACCCGCGTCACTGTCAGTGAACTGACTAGTGTTTATAACTATCTGAGGCAACTAGGGAAGTTGAATGATGTGCTTGGCAAGTCTAAATTGTCAACCGTGAATCACCATTGTCACAGAACCTGGTACAGCTAGCCTGATACACATGCTACGTTCCGGTGTCCGCCATCTTTGTTGACATACCACGGTAGTACCCAAAAGGAAAAAATTGAACACGATTTTGAATTATAGCAACTGCTGGTTATTATCATACAATACAGAGGCGAGGATTGCCAATGCATTGTTGACAACGACAATATTTAAACGACAATTTCCCGCTTTACATCACTGTAGCTTTTGTCAAACTTTAGAATAGAAATCAGCAATCTTACGCGAAAACTTGGGTAGAAAGTAGCGCATGCGTCGAGGAAAAAAATCAGAAAAGCATACCGCTGCACATCACATAATAGTATTCGAAAGGTGCAGATACCAATCAGAAAAATAAAGCTGGAAGCAACGAAAGCAAATACCACGTTTTAACATCTCATTTTGATATTTAAATTTGATATTGTTCCTTTTCAGAAATCGATTCTTAGCAATAGATTCATAATTCTAAAATCCCCCCCTCAAATTTCAAAAGTTGTTTCAACGGCCCAATATGGAGCAATATCGCGGTCTTACTCTTGTCGCACATGCTACTCTAATGTTTTTGTGCTGTGTAGACGAGAGTTCAGAATAAAATTGACTGATCTATTGACTTCTTTAAGTAATTTTTCTGCTAAAGTTCCCGTCGCGATAACGCCTTTTGATTATCCAAAGTGCTTGTTATGTTAGAAGAAGACCCAAATAGGTTAAATATTATAGCAGGACTTTATTTGGTCCAAAGTATATTGTATTCCTGATGGTGTTTCTAAACTTCATAGGAAGGAATACTAATTATAGTTAAACAATCGATTGTCAACGAAAATAAATGCATGCGCTACGTATTTATAAAATATATGTAAATGTAAGACACAATAAACTTTTTCGGCGACATTAATATTTTTTAACCAGAGCGTACTCATCTCCATAAACCTAAATACGCAAAAATATTATATATATATATACATATATAGTATGTATTATTACAAGTGGGCATTTTTATATTTCACAAACGGAGAGACGGATATTATTAGTTTTAGAATCGATACATTTCATTTATGTAAAATTATGACGTCATAATCACAAAAAGTAAAAAATAAATACTAAGCGATCTAAATCGCAATCAAAACTTTATTTGATAGCAAGCATAGCCATGCGACAAGAGCGCCTTAAGCTGTACACGGAACCGTACTACCCTCCGGGGTATTGTGGGTACAGCCCACAATTCCCTTTTCAATTTGGAGACACATATGGGAAAACTACTTCTCGACTTTTAACCGACCCAAAAGTGGCCAAGTCCGGTAACATGGTCTTAGCAGATATTGTTCCAAGCAATGTGAGTGAAATAAACAAGCAAGTTCCTCCGAATGACTGGATGAGGCAACGAAAACAAAGCTGGGGCGACCACAAACTGACGGACAAAATGGTTCCAGGTTATACAGGGTATATACCAAGCGGCGAAGACCACTTTGGCAGCAGGTAAACAATAAACTATTACATAACGTAAAAAATTAATCCAATTCCTAATAGACCTATCCACAGTTTGCCAACAGGTTGAATAATTAGATGCATTTCAGCTGACTACTGGTAGGTAGTCTTCTAACTATTCTTTATTTCAAGTTTTTATCGATCGTTTCGTATTTTACACAGATCTTAGTCGTCAATTCAGATTTGAAGAGACTGCGTCACAAATATTGAATTTATATTATAATAGCGTTTATCCAACCCATTCGAACTGTTGCTTTTGAAAGGAATTAGGACAGTGTGATATTTTTGTTTCTTCCGGTAAATTTCATTTAAATCTTAAAAAGAAAAAATATGAACAAAATGTATATATTTGTGAAATTCACGAGTAAAATACGGTCATTCGTCATTCTTTTCATCTTTATTTTATGAAATGAAAAGTATGAGGTTATACATTTTACGGCTAAAAAATTTTCTATAAATTATTTCACCTGTTTTTCCGCAGATATGCTAAAATATGTAAAGCAGCAATCACTGATTTTGACAAAGAACAACAGTTATATCATGATCGCAGAAAAGAACTGATGAAACGAAAGCCACCACTAATCCAGCAACAAAAGCCCGCACCCTACGTCTCAATCAACCCTGTGCAGCATTCCATATCACCCTATTTCATGAGTGAATACGACCCAGATAAAACGTTTATGTCTGGATACACCGGATTTATTCCGCGGTCTAGATCCAGGTACTCTATTATAGTTACTACAATGAAAATGATGGTTTTAGTTTTATTATATATTTGTACTACATCCGCGAATGACTCCCGTTTTATACTGTGCTAACCGCCCGGAACATAATAAGTTACGACTGAGGGATTTGATGTTTTCCGAATAGTATGTTTGCTTGCCTAACAATGATTCTCATAGAAATATATATTTAAATAATGTGATTTATAATTTAATGTAATTTAAATTTTTATATTTATGAAGGTTTTGGAACCTAATTCGCTTACTACTTCATACGATCATTGCTGCGCATATATATGATAAAACATTATTTTTTTCGCACTTGGGGCTTTGTTTTTGCATTTGGACTAAAATAATGTGATTTATATTTTAATGTAATTTAAATTTTTATATTTATGAAGGTTTTGGAACCTAATTCGCTTACTACTCCATACGATCATTGCTGCGCATATGATAAAACATTAGTTTTTTCGCACTTGGGGCTTTGTTTTTGCATTTGGACTAAATAATTTAAATATTCTTATTGCCACCGATTACGTGTTATTAATTAATGCCAGTCTAGCAAATTTTAAAATTATTATTAAGATTCGCGACTGGATATCCGGTATTGACAATGGAATCGTTGAGAGAGTTCACTGGCCATCAGCAATTTTTACAAACAGTTGCTAAACAAAGTGTGAATATGGAGAGAAATAATTTACCCAGAATAAAAAGTTCGATCGACAAGTCGTCAATACGGCGTCCCATCTACGTCGATAGTGGATTGCTTCCCCATTATACCGGTTATCTCCCGGGACACAAATTTCGATTTGGAGACACCTATGGCACAAGTTCAAGATATTTTCACCAGTCCACATGTTCGAGAGTTTTATAGAAACTTAGAGTTAGTTAATTGTTGATCAATCCTCGAAATAATTTTGAAATATTGTAATAGAGCAATTTCACCCATGGTTATTGTATGTATTTTTATACAAGAGAGCAATGCCCAAATATATGGACACGAAAACTATTTGCAATAATTGCATCACGCTGTTAAACCGTCAAATATTTTTTGCATTGATGAAACCGCGAACACCATATTTCATAACATGTTGAACACTATTGGAAAGATTGTAATGCTTCTTTATTAGCATATTGATGTTGTTTACCGCAGAACTGTAATGAAAAAAGGCTAAAAGATGAGCATAAACATTGCAGCTGTGCAAGCGTACAAAAAAATGGAATAAGTTAATTTGACTGCAAATGCAGTAAGAGTAAACATGTAAATAAACTTGATATGATTTGGCACATACCTACGTCATTGACTGTACAGTGGTCCTATATTTCATTCTCACATCTGCAAATTGCAACAATTTGATTTTTAAAATAGGTGAGTAGGCTATCGATCAATTTATATTTGATAAAACTGAACAATATAACTAACTAATCCCATACAGCCATACCAGACTTGGAATGGTACCTTATCGGTAACCAGACAAGAGGCTGTGGTTCGCAATATGGTTAAGCCGTTCTATAGGCTTTCCTCTCCATCGGGATAATTATGTAAATCTTATCCTTTTTGTAAAGTCTCTTCCTCTGCATATTTCTGTATTTACTGATTTATGTACACTAACCTGCTGCACATGTTGAAATTTTTGTGAAGTTTCTTCCTCTGCATACGGTACCATAAGTATTTATGCAAATGTTGTTTCCAAAAAAATGTAACGGAACAGCGAAAAATTAGAAAGGCATAGCAGCTGTGCAGACATGCTGGCTCATTACAAAAACTTAATTTCAATGCAGGCACACACTCTAAACAAATATAATTAATGCAACTAGTACAGCAATACTGTACTAGTCTACCGATATCGTACCTGTACAGCTGTACCGGTACGTACCGTAACGGACTACGGTACCGGTATCGGTAAGACGGTACGTAAACCTGTAAACGGTACCGGTACGTGCCGTACAGGCCACAGGGACTGTCATAGCTTTCCCAGCTATCGTACCGGTACCGGTATCACTTTCGCTTAACACGGGAACCACAGTCTACAAATACTGAAATATATGGAAAGTGAACATTGATTGATTGAACACCGAGCGAAACAGTACCGGTAGTTTAACTTAACCTCAAAAACCTTTCATTGCGGGTACCGGTAACCCCAAACATCTCGATTCCCCATAAACAACTCTTAGCGGAGAAAGAATTACGATCGCTTCTCAGTTGATATGCCTTCGCGCAATCGCCACAAGGTGTCACTATTTTTTATTCTGATCACTTCTTTGAACACAAAAAACAAATCTCTCGAAGTCCACAGGAAATTTTAAAATAAATAAAAGTAATAGTCTTCTGGAGAAAAATTTTATCTTCAACCACTGAAAATTTCAAAGCAATTGGTCCAGTATTCGAAGAGAAAAGCGACTTTTTGAAAACGTGTCAAAGAACAACAACAACAACATAATATTGAAACGATCGTTATGTCCACTTCGTGTCCAATAAACGTTATTAATAAACTTGGGTCGTAAATCCATCTCTACTTCGTGAAGACCTCATACGCACACTTGAGCAAAACGGAAAAATTAAGAAAATACAATGACCAATATCCTGTGTTACTTTGCAAACTGCATGAAGTTTGGTGTTCAATATGACATTCGATAATAGGGTTTATGTAAGTTGAAAGAATCTCCTCGTTTCGTTCACTACCAGAACAGACACGCCTTTGTCAACGTACTAAACCATTCAATGCAATGGTGTTCCTGGTGTTCATATATCATAGTATCGGCACACATACCAGAGGTCAGGATTTGTGTGAATAACTATGAACATTTAGAAGTGGGATAGGGTTATAACTTGCAAAGACAGTAAAAACGTAGCGACCATCACTAAGAATACCGGCTACTTAAAATTTGTAATCCGTCTTTGTTTTGTGTATATATATTTGTAGTTTGTAAATGAAGTTGGTCTGCAACACGTTTTTTTGCGCCCACTTGACTGAGGGTGTGTTATTGAGGCCAATGTATGGGTACAAGTGTACGCATGTTCAAACGTCCATTAGTGTAAATGTACGTGGGTTCAAATATCAGGGTTGCAAAAGTTCGATGGTGCAAACGTCCATAAGTGCAAATGTTCGTGGATTCGACTGTTTGTGGGTGCAAATGTCCGCGGGTGCAATCTATATGCGAGTGCTAAAATCTATGAGTAAAAAATGAGTGTAGTTTAGGGGTGAAACATACGTGGGTGCAAATGTGCTGTCGTTCCTGTTCCATATTTGGTCTGTTTGTCACTGTTTACTGTGATGTCACATACGCGTCTGTATAATGCAAGTACCTTGATTTCTCTGGAATCATTTGAAACTAGCTATTTTTAGCCAAGCCTACAATGTCAGCGCTAGACGATGTAGAATTTCAAGAATCTATTTGAATTGAATATCGTCACGCTAATAACCGAATTGCGTAAGTCATTTTAAGCAGTTTTGAGAAAAACGTAAAAAACTTCCTAATGATATTGTTATGCCATTGAGATTCAATAATTTGCCATGGTTCAATTTTTTTATCGTAGCCGGATTTAAGTTAATTTGTATGACGCAGTTAAGTGACGTCATAATGGCGCACTGTGACTTAGGCAGAAATGTGGGTATGACTTGGGGACATACGAAATTTTGCAACTTTACTATATATGAACCAGTCCTGAAAACTAAACATTCCAAAAAACGAATGTAATTTTCAGTATCTACAATGTCTAATCCCCAAAATAGCTAATCAGTTTCAATTACACTATTTTTTATGTTTAAAAATATATATTTCAATAATATAATACGTTCTGCACACCCACCGAAATAAGACTAAGATTAAATATAAAGAATAAAACAGCAATGCACCCAATATAAAAGCAAACCAAGGTGAATTGGATTCGGACAGTGAATATCACAAGTGCACGCCTTCCTCTACTGTAGTATAAATTCAAATTAATACGCGCTAAGCTAGAATCCGAGATGCAAAAACTCGAAAATACCACGCCGAGGCTATTTTGCCTTTGTGACGTCACAATAGTCCTGTTGCAACAATGATATTTCATTATGACGAAACAATTGCACAAATCTCCATTTTTATGGGTTTTGAGTTAACAGACAGGTGCGCAGCATTGCATAAATACCTATTTCTATAAAAAACTCAAAATCGCCAAAAATGACTTACGCAATTCGGTTATTAGCGTGATGATATGTACTTTGTTTGCATTCTGATAATATATTATATTTTTGTAACATTTCACATGGCTTGTGAATCATTTGGGAATCTGCTCGACTTCGACCTCAGTGAAACAAACATTTGCCCAGTGTAGGCTTACCATACGTCCCGATTTGGGCGGGGACAGTCCCACTTTTCAACGTCTTGTCCCGGCGTCCCGACCGGTCAGTCTAAAGTCCCGCTTTGGCGTCCAAGCAGTCATAATACAGTACCAAGTAGCAAGTTCTCGATACTGTTGTTGCTGTGTAGCGTATTGGTAACCTCCTTACTGAATGTGGACGCGTGGTTTTGTTTGTTTAGATTTTTTTTTCGCTAAAAAAAAATATTAGCAGATAATTGCTACACCCCTAAGCCAAAGGGCGTTCAGCGTTAACGTAAATTCCTTTATTTTCGAACTGAAACCGATATTTAGAGAGACAGCGCATGAACTCTTGATGACAATATGGCGAATGAAGACAGTCGGGATAGTTTTAAATGTAGGCCCATATTCAGTGGTGGGATTCAATTTTTTTGTCAGTCGGTTCCTTCACAAAAATCATATTTTTCAGCCGGTTCTGATACAAACAGAACATTGACAGTAACCAGTAATGCTAACCGGTTCGCTGGTCTCATAAAATTCCATGAGACGGTTCTATAGAACCGGCTGAATCCCACCACTGCCCCTAATGTAAAATTGACAAATTTAAAGTTGCAAAAATTAAAGGTATGGTCTTTGGAGGCGTCCCGCTTTGAGGTCACAAAACTATGGTAACCCTAGCCCAGTGTAACATTTTCTTAAAGGGAACACTGCCTACTAGTAGAGCTAAATAACCTCTAGAGCAGAGGTGGACAACTTCTCTAGTCGGCGGGCCAGATGTGGGAAAATGAAGTCCACGGTGGGCCGAATTATTACGAAAAATACTTCGGTATTCAATCTTTATTAAATGCTCGACACTCTCTGCCAACTTTACGTTTCTTGGGATATTTCATGGTTGATAAAACTTGATATAAAATCCAATTTCTAAAATCTATTTATATTTAGAATATAAATATAACTGATAACAATAGTGGGGAATGTTTACAACGCTTTCTGCTTTGACCTGATATTGTTTGTTTAACAAGTGTGATAACGCAATTGCTTGTTCACTAAGGCAATTGTCTATTTAACCAGCTCGCACTGACAGTGCGGTGAGAGTAGAGCGATCGGCAACTTTCAGGAATGATGCGTCGGACCACATTGCAGAGTGTGGTTGGATACAGTCAGCGGGCCGGTCAAAATCTCGTCGCGGGCCGGACCCGGCCCGCGGGCCGTATGCTGCCCACCCCTTCTCTGTAGCAAAGGCAACCCCTGGTACGCGTACCACTTGTGGCACGCGAGAGGATTTCTCATGGCACACCAAGTGATTTGAGGCAGATCAGATATGTATTTTCGTAGCGCGACTAACATTCTAAATTGGAACAAAAAATACCAATCCGAAAAATTTATTGAAAAACATTCAATATTTATCTGCGAATCAGTGCAGATAAACGTGTGCGGTGCAGTTATTTCACGACAACGATAATAACTACTTTATTTTTGTACTCGCCTAGAGTTGTGAATTTGTGAGTTATTTTACATTCATTGGCGGCGAGATGCTATAGTCAAATACAAGAGTGAATCGGCAACGCAAATTTTTGATTGAAAAGCGGCGATATAAAATACTAATAAAATAGAACCGTAAAAAATTTGTTGTAGAAGGCCGACGACAGAATAAAAACTCTTCTCTAAGCATTTGGGCGGCGTTAGGAACAGCGATGAGCTAGAAAAATCGTAACAACCGAAACGTACCTAACTCGCCTAAATATACTATATTTACAACATGATGCGAACGTTTACAAAAAATTTTCTCTGTCCCAAGATAGAGCCGAAGAACTGCAATGGTATATGAAGAAATTATCTGAAATATGTCGGTGTAAACTCACAATAATATTCATTGAAATTCAATGCACATGTTATTATTAGAAAGGGAGTAGGAATTTTTTAATCAGATCAAAGGTCGGGGAAACATCTATTGCACGTTACTTGGGCCATTCCTTTTTTTTTTTTTTTTTTTTTAATTTTTTTTTTATTTATAAAAACAGTCAATATTATCAATACTAGTCAATCTTAAAAATGTACTATCAAAAGCTATGACATTACCGACTTTTCTAACAAGTTTTCAATTCTTCCATCCTCCAAAAAGCTATTTTTCATATTTGATGCCATATTTTTCAGCATCCCTCTAATTTTACATTTAAAAATTATTCTCATAACTGATTGGAAATTATCCAATCTTCAAATATTATTTGATTCCTGAATTCCCAAATAGCTGCCTTTCCACATGCAACTATCATAATAACTGACAGGTCACATGTATTTTGTGCAATAATGGTATCAATATTATTTTCACTAAAATGCAACTCGCACCAATCCCAAAATATTTTAACATAATAGCATTCAAAAAATAGATGTTTACAGTCTTCAATGATATTAATATTGCACAACACACAGTGACCATCATCATATTCTGTCCAATGCCTTGTTCTATTTCCAGTAGGTAATGCCATATGAATTATTTTTCAACATAAAACTTGTACAATTTTAGATTATTCCATGAACCCAATGTTATTCCAATCAATATCAAATTCCAGTCTATAATATTCCTTAATTGATAAACCTTTTTGTTTGTCACTTCCATTATCTTTTTACTTATAATTTGATTATACATATATTTCGTGTTGGAAAGTTTTTCAAATGAATATATTGAACTGGAATCTGTTTGAACATTACTTTGACTATTCAACACATTAGCCCATCCTGATGGTATGTATGGCTTTTTAAAATTTGTACAGAATCTTTTACTACTTTCCTATAACAATCAATTTTTTTATTTTCACGCATACTACTCCATTTGTTTATGCCCCAAATTTTTGATTGCTATTTCAAGACAGTCATATTGGAACAGATGGCCAAATGTTTAAAATGTTTCCTCTTATCCAATTATTTACAAATTCTGGTTGATTCAACCATGTTGAGGGCTGGATTCACCATATGTATTGATCATATATTTGTTGTTTAGTGGTAATTTGTTTCGTTTTTACATCAGTTCCCTTGAATATGTTGACCGAATTTATATAAAACTTAGAAATGTTATTATTCCTTAAATTTTCAAAGAGAGATGTAAGTATTTCTAAATTGTTCACTGTTATTTTAGGATGCGTATATATTTTATTAAATTGTTTTCGCTCTCTTTGCCCAAGGAGCCTCATCACTTTTAATAATTTCCAAAATCCATCTAACTTGTAGACTTGTAATCTGACTACACAGATCCAATGGCCTTCAGACTCCTTCAACTTTCCTTGCACCAG